TCTCGTTTTACTATGTGGATCATAACAAGCTATAGGCAACATTAAGAAGAATGGGAATTCTGTAACACTTCATTGTGCTCATGCAGAATCTGTATATAGACCAAGAGGCAGTTGTTCAGACAACAAGGTGATGCTGCCTGGTTGGAAGGCAGGAAAGGTAGTGCCGGAAGAAGAAACTGATCTGGGTTGGAAGAAGTACAGCCAGCAGCATGCTCTGGAATGGAGCAGAGTGAGGCTTTATCTTACGGACTTTGGTTATGTTGACAGGAGAGCTCTGTCCTTGGAGAAGGACATTGCTTGGCTGAGGCTCAGTGAAAAAGGAGATAGTCGGTGAGATGGATTGACATAATGGCTGAAACAAAACAATTGTGAGGATGGGGCCCAGCTGGGCAGAGTTTCCTTTTATTGTATATAGACAAAAGTTACTGTTAGAGCGGACTCAACAAGTTCAGTCTTTATTGTGATGGTTCAGTCATGAGGTTTTAGTGTATCTTGATAACTAGTCTATAGTCAGCTGTTTTTTCCCCATTTCCTTTTCCTTTCAAAATTTTGTATGCCCCAGCCTGGAATAAAGAGCCCTGGTTTCATAGTGGATACCAGTTGGGCTGCTAACCACAAGGCCAGCAGTTTGAAACTACCAGCCACTCTGAAGGAGACAGACAAGGCTTCCCACTCCTGTAAAGCTCAATGCCGACTCATAGCAATCATGTAGGACAGCGTAGAACTGACCCTGTGAGTTTCCAAGACTGTAACTGTTAACGGAGTCGAAAACCCTGCCTTTCTCCTACTCTGTAAAGAAATAAGAAATCTGGTGGCGCAAGAGATTAAACATTGGACTGCTTACTTTTTAACATTAAAAAGATAGGTGGTTCAAACATACCAGCCACTGTAGAAGGGAAAGACAAGGCAGTCTGTTCCCATGAAGATTGACTCTGAAGCCCTGTACAGGTTTGCTAATTAGGTGACTGAGAGTGTGTTTTGGAGGGCTTTCTCATGGGATATTGTAGCCTTGCAAAGTCCAAGATCGCTGCTCCTGTGGGCTTTTAATTTTTGAACCATGTATGGCTGTATTCTACCATAGACCCTCCCCTGGCTTTCTCTTGTCTGTGTTGTATGACTACCACTGTTCTAGTTGTTTCTTTATCCTTTTCATTGCAGGAAGTACCCCCACAACCCCAACCTCCTCTCAAGCCCCACAAAAGATTGAGGCACCAGCAGCTGCATCTCCTGCTTCTGTTCCGCCGGCATTGCCCATTGCTCCCACCTGCACCTTCTCTTTGCCCTCTGTGGTTGGAGCCCCTGCTGTGTTCTCCTTCGGCTCTTCCTCTGTGAAGCCCTCTGGTTCTGTCCCTGGGGAGCCCCCGCCGGATTCCACCACATCAGATCACCCCAAACCTACCCTGGGCTCTGGCACATCAAACTTCTCCTTTGCTCCGCCTCCTAAGCCCCCGATCGGCCCCGCCCCTGGGGCATACCCTGCGGCACCATCCATGTTCGCTTTTGGGTCATCAGGTTTTAAACCTACCCAGGAAAGTACACCAGTGCCAGCTATGCCCGCGCCAAACGCAGCAATGAAGTCGTCCTTCCTGTCTTCAGCCCCTGCAGTCAAAATCAACCTGAGTGAAAAGTAAGTGACTTAGTGCGGAAGCTTGCTTCGGGAGGATGAGTAGAAGGATTGCATGTTACTCCCTCAAAGGGGGAAGTTGCCCTGACCATAGTTTCTCACTGTCTGTCTGTCTGCTTGAATAATCCTTGTCAAAGGTAAACATGCAGACAACAGAAAGGGTTCGCATTTTGTCAATGGTTGGAGTCTAAAAGAGTGAGTCTCTTCAGTAGAATTTCAAAACTTACCATTAGAGATGTATATTTAAATATTTGCTTAGCTTTTTCAGATTACAAATGTGAAAGGTTTTTGCTTTAAAAATTTTTTATTTTTAGAGGCATTAACAGAATACATCTTTAAGGAAATGAACGCTTATAGTCTTATCATGTCTTTAATGTCTACTGAGTCTAAGCCATTTTCTGCCCAGCCATCCAAGTGCTCTCGCGAAACAAACACATCGGGTCACTCTTCTGCCTGTCTGTCTTCGCCACCTTTTCACTGCTAACAATCCAGACTTGTTAGCCGAGTGTACAGTTTCCTCTGGATCTGGGTCCTGCCTCCCCACTCATTCAGTATTTATTTACCTCTGTATCTGCTGATTGTATGCTACCCGAGCGAATGTAAGCTTCTCTTGGAAGTCTGTAACACTTACCAAGGTAACCGCTGAGTGTAAACACGACTAGCCTTTTGCCCTTCCTGTGCATATGAATAGTGGTTCTATTTCCCGTCGTGGTAAATGAAAAGCCCTAGTGATACATCGGTTAAAGCACTCACTGCCCATTGAGAGGATGGTGGTTCACACCCACCAGCTGCTCTGCACGGGAAAAGAAGCCTGACCATCTGCTCTCGTAAAGATTATCGTTCTGGCCCAGGGAAATGTGCGGCCCAGCTCTACTCTGTCTTCTAGGGTTGCTGTGAGTCGTAGTTGATTCAGCTGCATACATCACGGTCAGCTTTGTCCCAGCTACCTGCTAAGTATTCATTTGATCTCTGTTGAATCGTTCCTTCCTAAACAAGCAGGCAGTAAGGTAAATGTTGCCCTGCAACACTCACCTTTTGTGATGATGTCTGAGAAGTTGCGTTTCATGAAGCAGAACGTCCTGGGAGGTAGTTCCCCAGGGTGACATTGCCAGGACCTGGGTGAGAGTCTTCTTGCAGACTGTTGTGATGATGCATTCTTGGCTGCCGTTTTCAGGTTCTCTGCTATGTCTGCCTCTGCTCCTGTTACTAGCTCACAGAGCACACCCTCGATGCTGCCGTTCTCGCCTGCCTCCAAGGCAGGGGCTCCTGGGCCCCTCAGCCTCCCCACGCCAGTCTCAGCACCACATGGTTCCCTGGCATTAAAGTCTCCCATCTCTTCCTCAGCAGCAGGTATGATTTTCAGCAACAATCTCTTTAGAGCTGAATCCTCCCGTCTAAGTGAACAGGTGGAATGTTTTTCAAAGTAGAAACTCTCGCCAAAACAGTGAGACAAGCGGTTTTCTTGCTCCCAAGTCACATGAATGTGCTCTGATTTGAGTACTCAGATTGGGAGTATTGGCGATGACTGTGCTTACCGTGCTTGTCTCTCTGACATTCCTCATAGAGCGAAAGGCACAGGATGGTTCACAGAAGGGGACTTGTGCTCATTCACTACTTTCCGATATAGCCTGCTCTGCATGAAGGGCAGTTGAAACTATTCATTAAGACACAAAAGAGGAAAAAGGTTTGCAGTGATTAATCTGGATTGCCTCTGGACACCATATTTCTGTTTTTACAGTCTATACAAAATAAGTACCAGACATGGAAATAATAATTATACCTGGTGATACATATTTGGTTGATTGTGGTGGTTACGTGCCGCAGAGACATCTCCAACTCTTAGTCACCCAATGAAATGCTGCCCGGTCCTGGACCAGCCTCACAGTTGTTAACGTGTGAGCTCATTGCTGCAGCTAGCATCAATCCATCCTCCCATCAGAGAGCTTCTGTTTGCCAATCCTCTACTTGATCAAGTGTGTTGTTCACGTCCAGCAACGGGTCTCTGCTGATAACGTGTCAAAACGATAGGAGATGAAGTCTGGCCATCCTAGCATCTAAGAAACAACCTTGTTGTCTATTTCTTTGGGCATGGGGTTTAATAGCCAAGTACTTGATATGTAGATGAGCCCTATTGGTAACCATTCAGTTGCTAACTGTAAGGTTGGTGACAGCTTGCGCGGTGACAGTCTACTTCTGGGAAGATATAGCCTTGGAAACCCTTCATAATGCTTCCACTCTGTCAGATAGGGTCGAGATGGATCCAGATTGACTCGAATGGGTTTGGTTTTTGTTTTTAATACCCTTCGCTTAGGTTCAGCAGTTGGCACCTTTTGCACCATTTGATTTATGTCTTTATGTAATTTTTCCTCTGAAATCTTTGTGGATTAAATGCAGATATCCTGAAACAACCTTTAACTACTTCCGTGTATTTCTCCTAAAAAGGAGGACACAATATACCTGGAAAATTTCACAATAACGTAGATCTCTATAGTTGTCTTGATATTTCTCTTTTTGGCCTTTCTTTAGTTTTGTCTCAGTCTCCTTTCATCTCAAATATTTCTCAAGTCCCTCCCTCCCCACCACATACAGACTTTATAAAAGAGGTCAGGCCAGTAGTTTGGGGGCTGTCTCTGCTGGAGTTCCTTGTTGGCACGTGGTGAGGTTGAGTTCAACCTGTGCAGCAGGGCTGCCCCGCAGACCATGTGCCTCCCATCCGGAGGGTGTGCTTCCCTTTGTTCTGACCTAGCTGCTCATTGGGTCAAGGCGGGTTCTCTCGTGGTTTTCAAGTTGATTATTTCCCTGAATGCCAGAGACAATACCTAGCTAGCCTGACCTTTTTGGGTGGCCGTTTGGTGTTTTGACTGTCAAGCACTGTTTTGGTAAATTCTGAGCAAACATTGTGAGGTTCTTGAGCTCTTCTTGCCCAAGAGAAAGGCCTGCCTTGTAGAATTTACCTCAATGTCTTCATTCCCAGGCTTACCATTTTCTTCAGACTCCCCCCCCAAATTCAGCATTGACCTCCCCCTCAAATTCAGCAGCATTGCCTTAGTCTTTTTATATCTCTTGGCTGTCTGGGGCATAAAACTTATAATGTCTACTTCCTACTGCTCAACACTCCTGTCACCCCCATTGCCTTTGTTTTGGATGGGCCTAGATGCTTGGATCTTCAGCCCAGTTGGACTGTGGAATTATTGAGGGAGCCGATTCACTCTCAAGTATTTCCTCAGATTTGGGAAGTGAGGCTTCACCCAACAAACCAAACCCACCACCATTGAGTTGGTGCTGGCCTGCTAGGTCAGAGTGGAAGTGCCCACGAGGGTTCTGAGATGATACATTTTGATGGGAGCGGCCAGCCTCATCTTTTTACTTTGGAGTGACTGGCAGACTTGAACTGCCGGCCTTACAGTTATTAGCCTGTTGCGTAGCCCCCCGGGCTCATGTTCATAATCATAGGTGTGACTTCGTTGGCGGTGGTTTTAAAAAGCTCCTGAGGTGATTTTAATACACAGTACGGTAAGACTTACTGAGAGGCTTTCAGGGAAGTCCTGAGGACCATAGGAGTAATCGGGGTGAAGGGGATTATTCGTCTAATGGTTTTAAAATGTCTCCTGGTGCCTAGTGTTGTCTTCGGAGCCTCTGGGGGAGGGAGGATGGGCCAGATGGCTGGCTCTGGGCTCTGAGCAGCAACACAGGGAACTGGAACCCGAGGCGCCCCTGTTGGGTCTGCTTTATGAGAAGGCTCCACATTTAAAAACCGAGCCCGTGGTTCTCAGTTATCTTGGAGCAGACGCTAACATACCGTGGACCTTGCTCTTGATTGCACAGATCATGAAGGGGGTCCAGGCACAGTCAATAATTGGTTTTCTGAGAGATGAGGAAAGGCCATCTGTGATGGGAGATCTGTTTTGACTGGTTTCTTCTACAGGGCGACCCACGCAGGGCAGCCCCAGCCCAGCATCCTCAATGGTACAGAAGTCACCCAGGACCACACCTCCACTGGCAAAGACAGGTCCTTCCCAGGTGAGTTCAAATTCAGCTCAACCTCTCTTGTTTGTGAAGTTATTGCCCCAAATGTAGATGTATACAACATGGGTGTTCATGACTTACTTAGAATTTAGATCTTTGACATAGAGTATTTGGAACTGTGTGGACACACACTACTCTACAATGTGTACATCTAGACAGCTTCCATCTCCAGCCGCAAGTCTTTTAGAGACTTTCTTCTGCTTTCTGAACTTACTGCTATGCCAGCCAGCTGGTTCTGTGCTCTTCGTTTGGAGACTATGGGGGCATGAGATTTCTTTCACACGCCTCCTTAGCATTGTCCCTTTCTCCATCAGGCTCCCCTCAGGGAGAATGCCTTATCCCTCTCACTGGTGTGGTGTTCCTGTTGACGCTTTTTATGTTCTGTTGATGGAGGTGTGCGCGCACGTGCCAGTGCCACCATCGCAGTGATGTGACCAGCTTCCTTGCTGTGTCCCCTCTTGCCTTAGTAGAAGATGCAATCCAGGAAGCAGGGCCCCTATCGGTTGTTCAGCACTGTCTCGGCGGTCTAGAATGTGCCAGTGCAAAGTGGGTGCCCAGCAAAAAGGTGTTCAAAAGATTGTATAATGAGCGTGCCATTGCCTCTGCCAGTCCCTGCCAGTACGGGACACACGTTTAAACCTGTCTTCCGTTCCAGGTGAAATCGCTTCAGCCTCCAGGCTCAGAAACGCAGGGCCATCAGTGGAAAGACTCCGATCCTGTGCTTGCGGGAATCGGGGAGGAGGTAAGTGTGTTTTCTGCAGCTGCTTTTCAGACGCGGCTCTCGGGAGTCCGAGTGCAGACTCTACGACCACCGCATTCTAGCGCTGACGCCTGCTCTGCCCCAGGGGTCAGTGTGACAACTCGGGCTGGGGGAGACCATCCTGCTCAGCTGTGAGACTAACGGATTGCTCGCGTGTGCACCCTACAGATTGGGCACTTTCAGAAGGAGCTGGAAGAGCTGAAGGCACGAACCAGCAAAGCCTGCTTCCAGGTGGGCGCTCCAGAGGAGATGACGCTGCTGCGGACAGAGTCCGGCGACTTGCACACCTTTCTCTTGGAGATTAAAGAAACCACGGAGGTTTGTGTTTATTGACATTTTGGTTAAGTTGAACTATATTTAAGACACGTTTTTAATATCCTGTGGATATTTATAGTTTATCTCTCTCTTAAAGGACCACCAACAATACCTAATGTACCTAGGAATGCTGAATTCAATTTCTGCCTTCAGCACGTACCATATATACTCGTGTATAAGCCGAATTTTTCAGCACATTTTTAATGTCGTTTTTGTGGTAAAATTAGGTGCCTCGGCTGATATTTGGGTCGGCTTATACTCAAGTATATACGGGTAAATTATGTGACTTTGGGCAAGTTAATCTAGCTACTCGGTTTTCCCTTTTTTTCCATCCATAAAATGGGATGAGAATAACTTCCACCTAGTTGGCACACACTGTACAACCCTTTTGCCATTGAGTCAGTTCTGACTCTCAGCAGGGCATAGTGGCCCCATGGGGTTTCCAAAGCTGACATCTTTATGGATTTCTAGAGCTGCCACATCTTTCTCTCACAGCTAAACTCAAGGCACAGTGGTCAGTTCAAAAGTTTATGGTAACTGTGTTTGGATTCCCAAGAGACAATCTTGAGAGATTTTCTCGAAGGACATAGGGCATTCGTGGTGGGCAGCATGTTTTGAGGAAAGTTTCAGAAAATGGAAAACTGCCTTGGTGAGCAACAGGCCAGGAAAGTTGTGGCGCGGACACGGTTTTCCATCATGAGTGTGCACCTGCTCTTTCTTCATGGGCACAAGGGCGGTCCTGTGAGAATTGGATTGGGAACCTTTTCCCTGGTGACCCCGCAGCCCTCATCTTGTCCCCTCACATTTCTTTTTTCCCTAAACTGAGAAGAACGCTGAAGAAGGAATGTGGTGTGAGTGCCTTGAGGGTACCAAACTGCTGATTTGATGAGGTGTAAATTAGAGAGGGCGGGCTTCCTCTGAGGAGGGGTGAAGGGATGGGAACGCCACCTTAGAAGCCGATAGACCTAGACGAGGATCTGTCAAGATACAGTAACTTCACATTTTGATATTCTTGTGTAATAATGGTTTCTATGATTTTGTGGCAGTACTTTTTTTACGTAACCCTCACATACCATAAAAAGATCAAACATCAATTGTATTATTTGCTGTTGGGCAGTGGGGTAAACATTACCTCTGTTAACTCATTAAATCCGCCCCTCCCCCCCCATGTGGTGGGTAGTAGTACTATCTCCTGTTTGTAAGTGTGGAAATGGAGACTTGAACAGATGAAGTCATTTGTCCAAAGTCTCCCATTTAGCAAATGATAGTGCCAAAGGTGCCAGAGTGCTGGTCTTAGATACAGTGTTTGGACAAGAGGGACTTGTGTTTGCGTATTAGCATTATGGATGCTTTCGACACTCCTTGTCTATTTTCTGCTATGAGACTACGTATTTTTTTTAAATGAAGAAAAAAAATTAAAGACCATTAGTATCTTTCCAACAGTGACATTCTGTTTTTGTTTTTATATAATTAAGTATGGTTATGTTTAGCATATGAGAAACACTTTTTAGGCAAAAAGGTTTTATTTATTTATGTAAACATCATCTTAAACCTCTTTCAGTCTCTTCATGGAGATATAAGTACACTGAAAACAACGTTACTTGAGGGCTTTGCTGGAGTTGAAGAAGCCAGAGAACAAAATGAAAGGAATTGTGATTCTAGATATCTGCATTTACTCTATAAGAAACCACTGGATCCCAAGAGTGAAGCTCAGCTCCAGGTAGGAGAATCAATCCAAACAAAGATATTAGAAGCAAACATCCAGACGGTAAGTGCTAGCCTTTGTTAGTTAGTGGTTGGATTCACTCCCTTTAATGAAATTGTTAATTTCAAACCACTATGTATGAAGTGGTACTCTTTTTTATTATATGTGTTACTTCTAGTTTTTAAAATCAATTGATATGCAAGGTAGGATTATTGATCCCATCGTGCGATAAGGAAATTGAGTCTCATAAACTACCGTAATTAGCTAGCCCAAGGTGATACTGTTGAGTGCAAATGGCACCAGAATTTGAACCTGTCTTTTCCTCTATGCCATACTTGAGCAAATTAGTTAGGTTTTTCCCTGCTAAATCCTAATTATTCTTAATCTCGCTTTTAGAGAAAATTTTCCTTTCTTCCCTTTCAATTTATCCCAATCGTTATCTTATCAAACCCATGGATCAGGAAATCCTTATGGATCCTCAAGTCCCTAGTAGGGTCATCTTCCACCCTCTCACCTTACCCTCTCCCATCGCCTGGAATATATTGGTCATGAAGGGTGCACAGGTGGCAGCACTGGGCTTTCTCACCGAGGGTGAGATGCCTTTTGAGTATGCTGAATCCTCTTCTACCCTGGGGAATTTCAGGCTCCGTCGACATTGGAACTCTTCTGGTGCCACCATTTCCATCCCTCGTGGGGTAAACTTGTTGGTAGTAAGTTGAAGAACCCCAGCTGTGTTCAGCAGCCCTTGTACTGAATATGCGCATCCTTGTAGCAAATGCTGGCGACTAGCCTGCTTTGCATCCGGGGACAGACAGACGTCCTATATTGCATTCCAGTTAGACTTCCTTCCTTTTTTCACCTCTGCTCTGGGTCCCAAGAGAAAAGCAGAAAGCTTTTGGAGGAAAGTGCCTTTGTTTGAAAGACAGCCTCTCACTTTCATAGCAGATCATACAAAGTAGATGACAAATGGGTAGCATTTGTTGTGTTTATTGTGAATAAAGAACTGCTCTAAGACTTTTCACGTATTTATGTATTCCTACTTTATAGCTGAGGAAACGCCTTGCCCTTGGCAGTCTGACTCCAGAGTTTGCCCTCTTAGCACTTCGCCATACTGCACACTCCCTACAAGCAGACAGAGATTCAACATAAAACTGTAATGAAGGCCATCAGCCAAATAAACTATAAGCTGATTTACTACGGGGCCACAGATGAGTCACAACTCTTAGAAGAGTTGGTGTTTGCTGGTAGAAAATGTTGGAGGTGAAATAGCGGAGAGCTAGTGTCAGAACCCCTAAATGAACGAAGGGGGACGATGAGAATTACCGTCAATATCAGCCCCAAGTGGTACCTATGAAGTGGAGGGCAGGCATACCTCCACTTTCCCACTTTTCCACAAGTTCTTAATACGTTCTGGCTTCCCTCTCCCTCCCCCATGACACTCTCTACTCTGTTGGGTTTGATCATTGTTTGCAGTGGCTACACAGAACACACAGACCATACTCATGATTGTGGGGTATGTTAGGGAATGAAGTTTATCATTCAGAATCAGGATCACGTGGGGAAGTAATAGGAACACCTCAAGTACAGGTCTTCAGTCAGCACAGCTTTGCCTGCAGCCTCTGCTGCCAGGCCCTGGTTGGCGAGTGTTTCAGCTCTGGAGCTCTGTGAATCAGCAGCCCCCATTGACCCTGTCGTGCTGGTGCTCCCCACTTGTGCCACCACGGCTCTTGCTCGTCTCTCACTGCCTTGAGGGTTCGTTCTGTCACTGTTTCTCCGTCTCTCCCTTTACTCCCCTCTCTTTTGCGGGTCTAGGAGGGTCTCAGCACCAGGGACCCAGCTCTGAAGGACACGTTCTGCTCCTGGTTCTTCTTCTTGATGGTAGTGAGGTCTCTCAGCCTCTGTGAGATTGGCTCTTTTAAACCTACTAGGTTGTAGAACTGACCAATCCCCAAGGTAGACCATAGGCATCATATTTGAGCAGTCACTGTTTAATCCCTGCAAGCTTCACTCACCTTATTTGCATAGTGCCAGCCAATACTTTGGTGGAAGTAAAGAGACAGTGGCTAGAAAGACCATGTAAAAGCTACAGGAAGGCATTCGGGCTGAAAAGGCAGCAACAGCTAATGCCTAGAGATATGGACACATCAAAGTGTCCAAAGAGAGAGTGTCCCAGGGAGGGGAAAAACGAGGAGCTGATGACAGGGCCTTGGGTGGAGAGCAAATGTTTTGAGAATGATGAGGGCAATGACTGTACAAATGTGCTTTGCACAATTGATGTATTATGTATGGTGATAAGAGTTGTATGAGCCCCTAATGAAACGATTAAAAAAAAAAGTGTACCCTAGTTATCAAGTATTGAGTTAAAAATTTATATATGTGGCTAAGGTTACTGCTACTTCATCTGAACTAGCCTGACACTTTTTCAGTTGGTATACGTACCTTTAAGAATCGTTTTGAAAATATGGGTAGTCTCCAATTCACGATATACTTTGAGTTGTGAAAAACTGCACTTAACCATTTGTGTGTGTGTGCACGCGCATCTTATCTTTAGTAATGTGTACTGTACAGTGTTGCAGTGCATAATTTGCCGATGTTATCACTCTCCGGTGTTCACTCACAGATGTTCAAAGATTGGATTTATAAAGACACTGATAATGAGTCCCTGTATTTCCAGTTAGAACAAAAGATATTATGTCACGCCATATGCCGCCATCATCATTTCAAGATATTATGAAAGACAATAACCATGGAAACTGAAAAGGAAGAAAAGGCATCTGTTTACGTCAGAACAGACTTAGGACAGAGTGGCTAGAATAAAAGCCCCGTTATGAGTTAGAGACAGCATGCCTGTGCATGGAACACTGTGAGGTATTCTTCTAACTGCAAAGGTTTCCCCAGTGTCACCAGCACGCTCTCTCTTGCATGTTTCAGTGCGCTTACTGAGCTCAGGGCTTCATCCTTATTTTTTTTATTTCTTACAGTCAAGTTGCATAGCCATGAAGGTTAACACTGACGGAAAATTTAAAAACAATTATTCTAGGCATAAAGTGAGTTAAATAGGAAAGACTTAATAATGATAAACTCCACTTCTAGTGTGCTTTTTGAGAAGAAATAAGCATTTCTCAACTAGGGAGGTTACTTACTATGTTCTTTCTACGCCATGACTAGATAGATTCAGAATTATTTTCAGGCTTGTTTTGTAGGATAATTGTGTCATTGTTACAGTTAATTTCAAGGATGGAATAGCAAAAACTAAATGGATGCACTGTCTGAGTATCTGATTGCAGTGGAAAATTCCCCAGCCATGTGGAGTGAGGTACTTTACAGGCACTGAAAAATGAGACCTGACCAAGAACGTTTGCTCCCTGGAGGCCTGGATAGACACACCTCTTCTGTTCCCCTTGATGTTGTACCACCTCTCTGCCACCCAGTAAATGACGATGACTTTTCAAAGTGACTTTAATTTTATTGTAGAATGTTACCGGTTTTAACAATTTAGGTTTCCCTTGTACATCATTGTTCTTAATCTGAAAATACTTCAGAATGTTCTGGCTAGTTTCAGATATCTTCCCCAAGCTACTGGAAGGATGAGTATTTGCCTTTCAACTCTTTGGGTTTGTTGTTTGTTCTGGTAGGAAATTCGGCGTCTTCATCAGTATGTGAAGTTTGCTGTCCAAGATGTGAATGACGTGCTGGACTTGGAGTGGGATCGGCATCTAGAACAAAAGAAAAAACACAAGTGAGCAAGGGCTTCGCTGCCCCTGGGGCTGGAGGAGACGCTCCCACGAGCACTCCTGCTCTTGGGCCCAGGCTCTGCTGTCAGTTTGTTCTGTGGGTGCAAGAGGGACGCTCACGATTTACAAACAAAAGTGTCTCATGGATTCATTTATCCCCACTGTATGGATGGCACTGGAGCTTCCTCTTGGCAGTCTGACTTCAGAGCCTGCGCTCTTAACGGCTGTGCTATACTTTACAGTGCAGCTTAATTTATGATAGGGGAAAATTGAATTCAACCGTATGATCCAAAAGTAGAAGAGAAGCTGAACAGATGTATTCCATTTGCTTTCTTTTTCCCCCCTCTTACAACAGAATACTGTGTAACCATTGAAATACAACATGTTTTTTTTTAATCGCTTTATTAGGGGCTCATATAACTCTTATCACAATCCATACATACATCAATTGTGTAAAGCACATTTGTGCATTCGTTGTCCTCATCATTCTCAAAACATTTCCTCTCCACTTAAGCCCCTGGCATTAGGTCCTCATTTTTCCCCTCC